CGAGTTGAGCACAACCGGAGCTACCGGTCTGCAGTCCGTACAATAAGTTGAGACAAAGGCAGGCGCGAGACGATGACGGATGCCCCCGGCGCAGCGCACGCTCATTGTTTAGCTACCTTCATATTACGGAACTTGGACACCAACGATTTATTCAGCTTTTTGCAGTTGAAATTTACACTACTTATAAATATTGTAAACTATTTGTAATAACAATAACACCTTAAGATACCTGACACACGGCCATTTGATAGCAAGTTATGGTAGTCTGGATAACTAAGCAACCAACAGATCCGTACAAGAAAATTATTTAAAAAAATTGATAGTCACTAAAGAGTTAAACTATCTAGCTCTTGGCCAGTTCTAGAATGCTAAATTATAGTATGGTGTTCCAAACTAATTACTTTTTCTTTTGAAACGAAAATTAAAGGCAGGTCAATATTAATATCCCATAGTCTGTTGGTTACTTTTATTAGCTTCACACAAGGATGTTTGTGAACAATGTATACTACTATACGAAGAGGCTTTTGTGAAGGCGTTGAAAGTCTAACTGCAGTAAACGACGTATTACATACGGCCAAGATGATATAGATAATGATACATTACCAATCGCCACTCTTCAAAACAAAAGATACGCTCCGATACCTTTCAACAAACATAATGTATTATGCAGTATAAACCTGTCGATTTACCTTTCACACAATTAATTTTTTACAATATTTTTATATAAAAAATAAAACGTTCAATAACAAGCGTTCCTCATATTATATTCTTCTGAGTCCAGCAATGTGCAGGCGCCATACTACTGCTCCAACCACTTTTTGTTACCGACAGCATCGCATCATCTATATTGAGCATTCTTACAATCTGTAATTTAAATTCACTTATTTTGAATTACTGCGAGAACATCTATTTCATCGGTTGCTAACCCATGGCTGTATGGTTAATGATTGCCTTCCTACGCATCGTATTGATCTAAAGCGGTTATCTTTAGATTTTTTATCCCATACTGATTTTGATGGCTTCAATAAGATCTGAATACATACACACAATGCCATAACAGAGTTTTGAAGCTACAGCTACATTCTTATATTAACATCATGATACTTAAGTGATATAACTGTGATATAAAAATTTAGGCGAATTTTGTGATTCAGATGACTCCGAGTTCTCCGGTAATGAGACCACTAGAGAAAACCGGGTCATAGGTTTTATGTAAGGACGTTAAATATTTTAATAAAAAAAAAAAACTACCAAAAATAACCAGACCGTATAGACATTCGTAAAAAGGTGTTTTTGCAATTGGGTCTCTCCTTCCTCCATTGTTACCTAATATTTATAGATTGATATGTTTTTTAACTCATAAGCATTTTGCAGAATATCATTTATGTCAAAAAAACGTTCCCTGAAAAGAATACTGACATGTTTGGTCATAAAATATACATATAATACTATCCAAATGACTCCATGCCCTCATTACTGATGTTGTCTAAATCTCTTTTATCTGGTGTTTGAATAAGACAGCAGAAGAGATTGAGTCCAGGTCATACGTCATTATTAGCCTAGGCACGAATCAGGTCAGCACCAAGATTAGGTGTTGTACACAGAGAGACTATTATCTTTGCTGATAACAGCCATACTACGTGATACGGGGAAATGAGAGTTGTAAAGATTAAAATGTTTATTCTCTGCGATGTCGCTGTCCTACGCGTGACAAGTTTTATTATTATATAATTTATTGCCTCCTCTGAAAAATTGCGTAAGTATCATTCTAGGACTATTAGGAGAGTCGTTGACTTTGTTGGTTTGCAAGTTATGTTTTACTTAACAAAAGATCGCTTGCACCTATAGAAACACTTTACCCCTCAAGCGTTCTTTAATATATAAAAATGGTACAGTAAGCCAGCATTGAAAAAATCGAGCTGTCTGCTCAAAAGCAGTGATCAAAAGTGATCATATTTTATTACAGGTGTACCTATAATACAATAGGATGTAATGTAAAAACCTAATGTTTCTGTTGTTAAGTCGTTTATTTACTTTTCTCAACTGTACTGCCATTCTTCTTAATACTTCATTGCCTTTTCAAAGCTCGATAAATTAAAAGCAATGCTCAAGTACATTAAAAACATACATAGTTTGGCACAATACAATTTAAAAAGTGAGGTAGGTCGAGCTCAATAAAATTCGAACGTAATTACAAAAACTAATACGACATTTTGAACCCTTTGTTACGCCTAATAGGTAATTGAATTTCAAACTAAATATTATACTTGTTAACTTAACTAACTTTTAACTTAGGTATTGCTATAATCCTAAATTCTTTCAATACGTTTTATTTTACACGTCATCTGTATAGTACTTCGTTAGCATGTTACCAAGCAGATTGTATAATGTGCCCATACTGACGAAAAATGTACACAGCTGTTATAAAACAGATCATTAATAAATTATGTACCTAATGTTTGTTATAGGTACAATAGTACCTATAACAAACGACAACGGCGCTATACGCTAAGTCTAATAAAATCCTAATAAAATAACGCAAACGTGGTACGCATTAATAAAACTCAAATCCAAAAATGATTTTCATGGAAACACTTTTAATTTCTGCAAATACTTTACATAAACATACAAATTATTTTGTTCTAATTATTTTGATTATTTTTAATTTCATAATAGTTACTTGAATGTTTTTGTTCCCCCTTGCATAACTTTAATTACGGGCCTATAAAGGGTCATAGTATATTCGTTTAACGAGACGCAAGAGCAGGCGCCCGCCATGAGGGATCATGGCGCCGTACCGGGCACTCGCGCCTCCAAGAAGGAACCAAATAAAAACAAAGAGAAAAGGTGGCTGGCGCCTTCTTATCGTGCGACACGTGGGCCTTGCCATCGCCCTCCGATTCGTGGAACACATTCCTGTCTAGTCATAGAAAAGCATTCCTTGTCTATTGTTTTAATGTATGTACTTTTAGCACAGGGGCCAAATCGTTGCACTAGATTTACTAAACTAATTTGCATAATCTCCAGAAGTCGTAGGAATATTAAGTTAATTGAAATATTATCATAAGTTAGGCGGGAAGTGTAAAATAACAATAAAAAAATTCATGCGCTTCTATTTTTTGAGCAAACCTATTGTTCCCCATCGGGCATCTTTTTAAGCTTTGTGGTAACAATTTCTTAATATAATAACCCAATAACTATTCGAACTAACCAAACGTACAAACTATTCGTTGGGGCCAGTGATGTAACTTTGTTTTTTACTATTGTTTAAAACTTATCAACTATAAGAGAGTTAGTTTAAGGATGTACCATAAAAAAGCTGTTTCAGTATGGGGGAATCACTACAATTTTATATGTGCCGGTTACTATAAAGACGGTTCATTTATGGCATAAAATTGTGTGTAACGGAACTGCTTGTCAATCATTCTTGTTTTATCGCGGTGGCAATAAAGAAAGCGTCACCTTATAAAGAATCTATTGCGGTTGCGAACAAAATGTACAGGATAGATATGTGTGTCCAGTTTTTGGAATTAATAAACCTATATCTTGTTTCAATCTTAGCACACCTGTTTTTGCTTCGCATATATTATGTTAATACATATTTATATTGTTACTTGTAGTTAAGCGGCAATATTCATATCAGCATCATATATGCATATTTTTGCTAAAAGTATTCATAGCTATTTTTGGTTCTACTTATTAGTCCAATAAGTAATCTTTTGAGTTAGTATCTAAGTTTTACTGAAAGCGTAAATAATTACTTGATGATACCCATCTAATCTTAATTATTGTCAGTTTTTATAAAATCTGAAGGGATCCATCTGCCATCAAATCAATTCAAGTTTTAATGAAATTCAATTTTTTATGTATATTTCTAATGTACCTATTAACTGCTTTCTTTCGCTATTTCTAAGGTTCAACTGAAGTTATACCTAGTAGAAGTAACTTATTTGGTTAACTTGCAGGGAAGCTTCGTGTGAACATTTAACTGAAACTTAATGTTATGAAGATGCACAGATCCTCTCTCACACTATTTTATTTTCATTTATTTAACTTTCACATAAAATATTTTAAACTAGTATTAAGGAACAAGTTGTTGGTTGTTTTGATTTTAAAAACTTCCGTACCAGATATATCGTCAAACTTTCACAAACACTCAAATCACAGACACTAAATATACTTAAAATTATAACCTTTTTGTTATATAGCATGCATAAAGCATGCCATGCATACAATATTTTGTTTAGAATTTTTGCAAGCGTTAATGAAGATTTGACACCGCGATGGTACGACAACAGGTATCTGCAAATTAGGCAATTAATTCATTATATACTTGGGTCGTAAACGCATTTAAGAGATTACATTGATCTGTGGGATATCCGACCAAATATCGTACGCGAGAAGAGATAAGATAAACGTAATTATGCATAATTATGTAACGTGTGAGCCGACACTCAGATAGAGATAGCGGTCTTAGTCAGCGGTCGCGTATACTCGACGCTACAAGTACAGACACTGTTCACGTTGAATAACGTATCTGAACGTATTATATATACCTACTTATTTATTAAAGTTGTCATAAAAATTTGCGAAACTAACCTGGATTGAAACCATAGTGTTAAGAGCTGTTATCAATAAGTAAATTATTAAAACAACACATTGACTATTGAAAAAAATATTGATTGGTTTAGTGATAATCGCCATAAATAAAAAGGTTAGTTTATAAAAGTCTTAATTAAACATTATTTAATAACATATAAATTTTATTTTATTTTTGTTTGTCCACAGGTGGTGTATGATGAGAAACCAGATCAAAAGGCGAAGGATGAATTCTTTGTCAATATCCAACTACAAACATAAAGTCTAGTAAATGTTACATGGACAATTATTTGTTCTATACAATTATCTGTAGTGTTGTGTCATTATAGTGAAATTTTAGACTAATTATTGTAACAAAACGTGAACTTAAAATGCGTGTAACAGACTGTCGGGTGCTCAGAATGATGAATGTGCGGTGTATGCTGTTCAAACTGTTATTGTTCCAAATACTGGTGCCTTGGTGCAGTCCCAAGCACATTACAATCGACCTTTCGAAGGAGGCTCAGCAGCCGTACAATGATGTCCAGGATAGCATTAGAAACCTGATACATACTGGTGAGTTTCATTTCTTCTATTCTCTTTGGTAAATTAAAATTTTATTGTATTATGTTCAAGAGGTATGATACTATATTTTATAAAATTAATGAAACGAAATTTTTTTAAACTTACCTAGAAGTTTATTGTTAAGATATTTTTGTCTCTTTTCCCGAAAAGCAGTTGGTCTACTGCATCTAACTAGTTTTCTATGATAATGAGAGGGTCAGCCAGGTTAATCACATTCTGAATGAAAATAAACCTAAACCAGAATGTGAATGAATACAGTTTATTGTTTATGAATAAATTTTAAAAATTCTAAATTGATTCATCTGCACCGTCTTTACAAACAAGACCTAACTAGGAACAAGTTTATATGCATTTTTGGTTTATCTATCTACTCATCATACCTTGAAAATAGGTCCAAATGGCTATGAACTGAAATCCTTTAGAACTTGGTTCACTTTATTGACGAGTTCTTACGTGACATGTTAATTAATTAAGACTTTTTATTCCTGAGTTTAAGATTTCAGGTTAGGTTAAGTTCGCTTAGAATGGTTCTCTAATAATACGTATATAAAATCAGTAATTCAGTCTATTTCACTTATTGTAACTGTTAAAATAATTGGGTTTACACCAAACTACACGTTTAATGTAAGACTTAGGCAAATCTAATCATCCAAAAAGTTTTTAGAAAGGAAATGAAGTCTTTATTAATAATTATCATATAGTATACACTTTTTATTGTTTGAGATGGTAATTTAGTGCGATAACGAGTCATTAGCAAACAATAATGATCCGTACATCGCGGAGATACAGGTTAACAAACAAACCAACAGACAGAGAGTTTTAGAGTAAAAATAGCAGCTTTTTGATATCATATCCGATACCAATTGTAAAGTGTTCTTACTAAAAGTAATAGTAACTGCAATCACGGTCTCAGTTTTGGCAATATCATAAATAAATAAAGTAACAAGACGAGATGTGGACCAGCAATTCTTAGTACCTTTTTTGATGCCTGTGCAAATCAATATCTACGCGATCCTTACTCGATTTATTAGAGCCCTTAAAAATGTACTTACGTTTTTTTATCAATTGCCACAGGTCATGGAGAAATAGAAACTACAAACTACGTCTGTTTACTATAAGTAGGTTGAAGTGACTAATAAATGAAATTAAATTATTGACACAATAATATATTAGATTGAAGTCTAGCAGTCTTGTCTAGTCTTAAATACCAGTTAAAAACAGACAAATGTAGGTTTTAGACGCGTGAAAAAAAAAGGAATGAATAAACTTACAATATATAGATAGTTTGTTTGTCCATCTCGGGCATCAGTTCTCTAAAATATAGAAAATTTGATTACAAATCTTCGCAGTTGTGGCACGGTACTATTATAATACAGTATTGTAACTCGGCCGCATGATAGAAATAAATGCCTACAGCCGCGCGGTACGTAAACATGCGTTAGGGCTGCCCGTCTCCAGCATTTTAGTGATATTTGCCTACTTTCTGTTTCTATTTAGATTTGTGATTGTAAATATCCTTTTTATATAAATAAATGAAATACTTTGTATATTGAATAGGAATTGTTCAATAAAAATGCGTGTTGATTTTTGATTGGTAGATTTAATTAAAAAACATTTTTTTGTTTGAAAAACCAATCGGGCTTATAAATTAGCAACCGAAAAAAATCCTTCTATAAAATAAAATAAATGTGCTTTCTCCATACGCGTTACAAAACTCCAATCCTTAGAAACTCCAACACCTACCACCTACTCAACTAGAATGCAAGAAACAGCTGACGAGTAAGTAACTTTTTATCTCAGCTAATTAACGTCTCTATAAATTACCTAACCTATAACCTACAACTCGCAACAACTCAAAACAAAAATTCTTTGGTCACCAATTAATTAATTATTAAAAAGCTGAACAGCTGACTACAAATGTTTTAAAATCACAACCCTCAAACATCTAAATATTATATATGAGTCTAGCTGTTGTTGTTAATACCGAGAAAATAAAACCAGTTTTTAGTGGTATATGTTGTTATAGTAGCAGCAGAAACACTTTGTGAAAATTTCGAAAACTGTCTAATGACACACAGACGGTAACAAATTTTTTTTAGTATTATTCATACACACAGATAATAAAGATATATTATTAATAATAAAATACCACGTCTTTAAGTAGAATTTTCTTTTTTTTGAATTATGCAAAGTAACAAAACAAACATGCACCGAAGTTTTAACACAAGCGTAAGTAGGTAGGTACCTACCGTATCATGATTCATTCAGAACCGCATGTAACTCCCTATTTCACTCGTCTCAATAACTTTCCGTTACTCTATTTGCTTTATTTATTCATCCAAACACCTTTTTTTTCGTGAGATAAAAGGAAATACTTATCCATTAAAAAGACACACATTATGTACCTACGTACTAGTAAGTAAAATTATTTTATAGTCTTACTTTTCAGAGTTTCCAGGTAATTTAAAAAAACTTATGTCTGGATGCGTAATTGACGAATTCATACAACCAAAAACAGCACAATATTTCCTACTCGTCATATTAACTGATTTTTAGAGTAAAAATCGCGCGGTTATTGTTAAAAAAACAACACGCAGTCCGTTCGACACTGCGGTACAGCCGTGACTGTCTGCGCCCCGAGCGCACCCCGAGATCGAGGCGCGTAGGTATAGCTCCCGTTTCGTCCGTTTGTATGAAGTTGCAGTACTGTATTATAATAGTACCGTGGTTGTGGTTTGATATCAATTGCGATGATTTGTTATTAAATTTTCTATTATAATTGTTAACCTTCGAAATAATTCGCGAGCTATTTCTTAGAAAAAAAATATTAACTTAAAAAACTTAAAAGAATGACATCCCTCTCTGGTATAAGTCTCAGAGAGGCATTAAATTGGTAGACAGGTGTAAAATTAAAAGTGACAAGGGTTAGCATTCAGTCACCGTGTCATGTCATATTTCATTAGATTAATTTAATACCATTAAATTTCAATTCGAATTCAGCTGTAACCAGCCCATACGTGATTTATACCTCATGCCTATATTTGAAAAATTATGATGTAAAACACTTTTTGGGGTTTCCTGAAAGGGAAAAACAGAAACCTTATAGAGGATCATTTAGTTGTCTGTCTATCTGTTACAACGGCGAATGTATGCATACAAGAAATCCACTATTCTGATTGTATTATTTTTAGAATCGAAAAGTTAAGTTTGTTTTTAAATCCGATTTGATGAGTTAATCGTTTCGGGGATTAATTTTGTAGGAAGACAAAAAACAAGCAAATAAAATACAAGCAAATAAAATACAAGCAAATAAAACTTCGAGAATCAATTTCTAAGAAGGTTGAAATTGAGGTTGAGCTTTTTACTTACAAGTTTGTACTGAACCTTTAATTTGTGAGTCACACTTAAACTCTTTTCTAGATAACATTGAAATTAAAATGTACTTACAGATTTCGAGATCAATATACTACAACCGCCCTGTTTTTAGTTTAATATCGTGATTTGACTGTGACATAACTTAGAAAAAAAGAAATTCTGTTTGTACAAAACATGGAATCGATTTTTTAACTTTTACTTAATACATGTTTATGTACTTACTAATTGGTTAATCGTACGTCATTGTTATCAAAAGATTATACAATAGATAATGGTCTCTTATTACTTATAAAAGTTTATGACGCGATAGGTAAAGTCTGTCATGAAACCTTTGCAGGAAATTTCATACAACATCCGTAACATTGTAATCAAAAGAAACATCCATATAGGTATAGGTACTGTCAAAATTACAATTTCATATAAATTAATATTGCCTTTGACGTCCTTAACGGCTTAACAGGATTTTTCGAATTGTGGCTTAACTATTGTTTTGTATGTGTCATCGACTTTTGAATACATATTTGTGAAAAGTCAGTAGTCTGTATTCTAAGTTACGCTGACGTGCCACGAGTTCTTAAGACGATTGGTCCGGAGACACACATTCATTTAAGAATATTTAAACAATATTTTAATTTTGTAATATTTGTTTGTGAATAACAATTATAATAAATTATTTTACCGATACCGGGCCTCCTCCATCTACGTTACGTTACATAAAACTCATAACGTATAATTATTATAATTATAAATTTCATCTACTGGACGACCATACTGGTTATAAAATCATTTCAAGCTTGTTAAAAATCTGGAGTTTTAAACTTAAATCGGCTTATGAAAGACTTGTAAAATTAAACTTTAAATAATATTTCTCCGTATTGTGTTACCGACGAAGTAGCAAAGTGACAATTTAAAACCAGATTTGATCAAGGAGGGGACCTACAGAGGAGAGCAATTTAGTCTTTAATAATGGTGGTTTTATAGTTCGGTGTGTAAAATTCCAAATACGGTCAGTATTAAGGACGCAATGTAACCTGACCTGATGTTAGGATGTATAGAACGTTAATATTTTTTAATTCCCGTAATCGTAATTGAATAGTATGGAACACGATAGTTTAAAAGCTAACATACAATGGGGATTGTTTTATTACATAATGTTAACTTAGGTATATCAATCTACATTAATATAACTAATTATTTCTTTTCTTTTCTTTTTTTTAAAAGACAACTCCCGCATTAGGAATATATCCTGTATCGCGGGGGACTTTACAAAGATACATGAAACGGACACAAAGAACACCCAGACTCAGAACAACAATTTGTGAATCACACAAAGTGTCGTCCCATGTGGGGATCGGACCCACAACACTCAGCGTAGTAGTGAGCGGCGTGGCGACCGCTTAAACCACTACGCCATACGTGCAGTCGAAATAATTAAACGGTTCGGGTTTCAAAAAGAATTAATAATAATAATAATAATATTGTACCACATTCACACAACGCCATCTAGTCCCAAACTAAGCAGAGCTTGTACTATGGGTACTAGACAACTGATATAAATACATTTATACTTTTTTTTGTTGTAAATACATACTTATTTTACATAGAAACACCCAGAC